GTGTGTGTGTGGNGGGGGGGGGGTGGGGGTGGGGTGGGTTGTGTGTTAGGTGTATCCGAGCTTGAAGAGTAGCACAAGAAGTATCAAAACATAGGTACTATGATACTAAAATATATAATAAGTAATGGGACACTTAGAATGCAAGGAGAAAAAGTAGGAAAAAAAAAACAAGGTTTTCGGCAACAGTAACTCGCATGATGATGAATCGACTTACATCTCGGTAAGGGAAATCATCGACTTCAAGCATGTGAATAATATGTCCCATCTTTGGCCTCTTCCGTGAATCAGGATCCACACATCGTAATGCAACTAAAAGTGTTCTTTTTAATGCCCTTGATGATGGTTTCTCGGGAATTTTTGGATCCAAGACACCTTCAGAATTTCGATTACTTACCATTGTCTTAAGCCAATCTACCAGATTAACCTGAAAAACAGATACGACTCGATGATTACAATTAAGTAGCTCTCAGACTAACATCTCAAACTTTAGCATGCAAGATTTAAGACTAACCTCGCCTGGTGGTCTGCTGTAGTCGACTGGACTCCGACCAGATATTATTTCCATGATAAGAATGCCAAAGCTATATATGTCACTTGACTCATTTAACATACCAGTGCTAGCATACTCAGGAGCCACATAACTACAAGCAAGAAAGAAGCTAATGTTATTTATCAGTCCTTGCAACAATATACTTCTTCCATGTATTACAAAGTTGCAAAAGACAGTATTCACGAACCCAAAAGTTCCCATCACACGCGTGGTCACGTAGGTCCTCCCTGAGCCTAGTAGCTTGGCCAGTCCAAAATCTGAAACCTTGGGAATCCACTGCTTATCAAGCAGTATGTTACTTGATTTAATATCTCGGTGAACAACCTTTGGCTCTAGCCCTTCATGCAAGTACAGTAACCTGCACTTGAACATTTATGGTCTCATAAAGCAAGAAATTAATCAAATATTATATATGTCAAGGTTAAAGCACAATAAGCAGCACAGAAAGTTAGAAACGTACCCTTTTGCTGTACCAATTATAATGTTCATTCGAATTTCCCAAGTAAGAGGACTGGAAGGACCAACATCCCCATGAAGCCATTGCTCTAAATTCCCATTATCTATGTATTCATAAACAAGCATCCTAAATTGCACAGACAAAAGATTAGAAATTATCTTTGTTTCAGTTGATTTCCAACATAAATGTGCTGGAATTACATCAAAAAAGGACAAGGATAGAAACTGATAATATACCTATGTTCACCTTCTGCACAGTATCCTAGCAATCTCACTAGATTCTTGTGGCGAACACGTCCTATTGCTTCCACTTCAACCTTAAATTCCTTCTCAGCCTGGCCCCTGATACGACAAGTGAATAGGTCAAATTAAGCCACCACCTTGGATAATACTATATCTATTCTTGGATATCTAATTGGATTAAATTTTTTGTGCAGATAAAATCTCCTCATTCATTAAGATGAGACAGAAATCGGGTTACCTTTTCCAAATGGGATTCATGAAAATTATGAATATAAATGACAGATCCCCTACTATAGCATACTGCAATTCTGCCACTTAGAACTTCTAAATTTCTTTAAAGTAACTTTATTGTAAAGTGAAAATAAAATGAATTTGAAGAATATGAAAACTATTTGAGTGCCTTGATCTGAAGTATATTTGACATGGTTTTCCCATGATACAGGTACTGAGGTGAATGCATACACAAATATTGATGCATGAATATAAATAGCAATAGATACTGATTGAATTCCTAGTCCACTTACAATTGTAACCTACAGAACTGCTAATTATTCTAATATCAGATCCAGTAAAATATTCTCTTGCCAAATGAAAATGGAGATTTGATAGTAGTTGGAATTATTTCAATACTTAAACATCATGCATTCAACATTGGTTTATTGTTGCTAGTGATACACATCTCTATCAGTTATATAAGCTCATCTATAGAGATGATTGTAACAGGCTTTGTTATAACGGACTTGTATCTATTGTTAACCTTCTGTGGTATCAAGTATTTTGTGGCTAAAATTTCAACAAAAGATAACTTCTAATGTCTAAATCCATTCAAGGAAAACACATCATAATCGCTTCATTGTAAATCCCACAAAAGTTCCAATTATTACACCTGAAAATCCATCCTTCCAGCACTTTTACAGACCATTTCTTGTCAAAATGAATTGTAATGTTTCTTTCATGGAAGTCGCAGATAGCATCAATCGTTCAAGCTTGTCATTTTGAAGTCTACGTAGATAAAAGATCACCTAAATTTCTTACATCACCATCTTAAGGTACAGTGTCAATCATTCTAAAAAATAATCCAGAATACCTATCTTGGCAAAACAAGATCGCTTCTTGGCAATACTCTTTCATCATTGACCAAGGGAGTTTTAACTCAAGCGGTTTCTCTTGCAACCAGCCAAGGTGGTGAAACTACCTTAATGAGATCTGTGCTTCTCAATCTAAAGCAACACTAGTGCATATGAAATACAATCTTCAAACATCAAAGAAAGGATCTTCTAAACTGCAGGATTATCTGCACAAAATTAAATCATTTTCAGATCAGTTACTAGACACTGACAAGGTAGTAACTAATATAGATCTCATCGCTTGTGTACTGTGTGTACTGTTTGATCTAAGACCTGAAATTGATCATTTTGTTGTGATACAGTCATCCTCAAAGTTAAATAGTCATTATAAGCATAAAAAAAAAAGCAATGTGAAGGCTTCCATGTTCAAAATCAGAACTCTAGCGACAACGCAGGGTGGAAAGATCAGTAACAAGACTGTCCAAGATCTAGACATACAGCCAACAAATGCCATCATCACTTTGACCAGAGCCAGGTGTTAAACTTTCACCCAACATGGTAGAAATGCTTGCTTCATCCTCAACAACTACAAATTCATGTTGGTATCCAGATTCTGGTACAACCAATCACTTGACCTCCAATTTAAATCCCAATTCACAGCGATTATGCCGGATCTGGGCCAAGTGCTTCTGGATAATGGTAATTGTTTTTCCATAGATCGCACAGGAAACATCATTATTTCAACTAATACTTGGTCATTACATCTCAAGCAAACCTTTACTTTCATCGGCTACAATCTTCTTAGTACATCAAAATTTGTCTGATAATAATGGTCTGACATAGGAACGTAAGTTTACATTTATCCCTATAATTTATGTCAGACAACACTCCCAATAAGTTTACATTTATCCATATAAATTTATAGGGATGTAAATTTTGATGACTTGAGGAAGAACATTGTTACAATGGGAAGATTACTCGTTTGTTACTTAATTGATCAAAGTTCAATTTGTGAAAATAGTGTCTTTACTTTGTAAGGATAAGACATTGTAAATTTATCTTCCTCAAAAAAAAATCCCCTCCCCCTTTGGTGAGAGCCTCATGCATTGGGTTTGACACTGTACCTTAAGATATATTGCACATGGATAATTTTGTTGCATTGGTGTTAGCCGTCTCTTCTAACGAATATTTTGTTGCAGAAATCTCTCCAAGAGATATATTGCACATGGATAATTTCATATAAGGAAAATCGACAGAAGACTGTCTTCATCCCGAACTCATTTCCCACATCTATATATGCACATGCTAAGGCTAAGTCAGATGCAAACTATCATCTTTATGCATCAACAGACATACCAAGTGGCAGTAGTTAAATTGGATCTGCTGTTCTACATGCAAAATCAAGTTGAAATAAGATCTTGATGAGTAGGTCTAATGAAAGATTTTGTGCTTAAAATTCTACAGAATTATAATGACTTGAGTAAGTACCTGTTATTCAACAAGTTCTTGACTGCAATCTGAGTGCCATCTTCCAAGACACCATGATAGACAATGCCGTATCCACCTTCTCCAATGACATTCTCATCTGAGAACATGCCGGTCGCTACCTCAAGCTCCCTCAAGGTGTACCAGTGGCCCCAGCCCAAGTGGGACACCTCAGGGACCGAGGCCGGCGCCTGGTCCACCGACCGGCTCTCTCCGCTCCCATGCGACGACCCGCCACCCCCGCCGCTGCCGCGCTCTGGGTAGGTGATGCGGTGCTCCTTCCCGGTCTCGACGTGAATCCTCTGCAGCATGATCGGCTTCTCCTCATCTGGCTGCTTGCTGGGCAGAGGAGAGGGCTCGGCTTCGGAGGAATGGGAAGGCGCAGATCCAGCATGTACTTCTTGGATTTCTTTGGGGACTTTAGGGATGGTGTGCTTCCGGGAGGAGCTACTGCTGCGCTTGTAGGCGATCCAGAGGGAGATCAGGAAGAGAAGGAGGACGAAGGCGACGCCAATGCAGATGCCGACCACAGCCCACAAATGGAGCCCAAAGATGACTGTTTTCTTCGAGAGATCGTAACCAGACATCGTTGCCCCCTCCTTTGTCTTCTTGGTGGGAAGAGAAGCTCAGCTGTTGCAAGAGACTGCGATCCAGATATGGAGATGCAACATGCGTGGAATCATAACAAGTGGTGGCAAAAAAAAATCAGATTTTGGGAACAAAGTCGATGGGAAAAGGTGTGGAGAAGAGCAAATTTTGGATAAAGATCAAATCTTGGAAGAATTTGGTTGCTGTGATGCTTAGAAGAGGAGCAGAGGAGGTGGAAATCTAGAGGGCGAAGAAAGATTCCAAGTCCCTCGGTGCTTGATAGTCTGCAAAATTGACAGTGGCAAGGAAAGAAACCAGCACAGATAAATCAAGAAGGCAAAGTAGCAGAGCTACACTAAGCCATTAACGGAGGAAGAAGAAGGTAGGCTGTGAGATCCAGCAGAATCTTCAAAGACAGCAACAAGGAGGGAAGAGAGAGAGGCGACAGAGAAGGGCATTGCAGCCAATTCAAGGGGAGGAGAAAGCGAGAGGCAAAGGTTTTGCAGCTGTCATGATGGGACCAATGAGGAATAATAGCAGCAGCCTCCAACCCACTCATCAAAGCACAGTCGACTTATTTATTCTACTCAAACTGCTCATACTGTGGTGCATCAGCTCTTCTGAAACTTCATACTGTGATCACACATGTAGATGATGGATTGCACCCCATTAATGATGGTGGAAATCAGTGCATCAGATCTCATTCTCTCAGACGGAGGCCTTGGACTTGTAGTGTTCCAGTGTCAAGGCGATAGCCAAATTACAAGAAGCAGTAGATCACATGCTATTCAAACTCCATGAGTATGAACATATTGAACAATGAAGTGAGCATTTGATTCTACTCTAAAGAAAGAAAACAGCTCATCAAAAGACATCTCTTTAGAAAAATACTTTTTTGGTCCTTGGATTGGGTCATGCTCGAGAGGACAATTCAATGGTGATCATTGAATAATCGAACACCCATCCCTTCCTACAATCAAATTTCTAAAGCATCTTATCAAGTAGAATCTTTATTTGCTCTTGATTTGTCCCTTTTAATTCTATCTAACTCGTTGATGTTGAATGGTCTACATCTCTAATTTGGAATTCACAGCTTGTATATGAGTAAGATGGTTTTGACTTCAGGGGAACGCAAATCTCGATGTTACCATTCAACCCACCCTTGCTTACACCGCAATTCACCACGATTGAGAGACCAATTTACTATGGCAGGCTATTGAATGGGAGCCAGCAATATCACAAACACCAACCGGGCAATATTAACTTGAACGAGTTTGGGTTGGTGAAGTGGTACCATCTCGTCTTCGCTTTCTCCTTCGCGCGGTGGGCCGTCGTCTTCTCTCTTCATATTGCTTGATGTCCTGAGGTTGAACACGACGCCTCCTGGAGAGAGAGGCGTCCGTCGCCATTGGTAGGAGGGGCGTGGTTTAGGTGGGAAGCACGCGCAGACGCTGTTTGATGGCAGTGGCCACCTCTCGCCTGCGTTCGCGGGTGCCTGCGCTTTGAATCGCATCGTTTTTATTGCTTCTCCTACAGTAACCATGGGCGCGTCACCTACGTTCATACCGCATTTGACTGAATTGCGGGACCCACTCAGGCAGCCGACCTCGTCAACGGCAAAGATCGGTGGATGAGCGGGTACGCGACCAAATAAGTAAGATAAATATTGGTCGCTGGAATTTAAAGCGATATATATATATCCCTTTTTTTTTTATTTACCGATCTAAATTTAAATGTAAGAGATATAATAAAATTAAAAGGACTTAACGTATACATCATAATAATAATTCTCCATATGGATTATTAATACTCTTCCAAAAACATCAAAACAGTGACGTTGAAACTCCAACTTACCATTAATTATCCTTTCCAAGTGTTTCTATTTATTTTATTTTTAAATTTGTAATTTTACATTTATTCATTTAAATTTAAGTGTAGAAAAAGAATAATCAAATAATCAATGAAAATACATGAGATATTTTATGTGACCACTACGCTTAATGGAATAGTTGACATAATAACTTTATAGAGGATAAACTACGTTAATAGTAGTATGACTTATTATGTTTTAGATAGAGTATAACTCACATGATCCTTATAATACATATAAGAGATATAATGTTTTAAATATTTAAAAATTTAATACTTTATAAAACTTATAGGTACACAAAATTTTAGTATTATAAATAAAATATATGCAATAGTTAGATATTCAGAGTGAGATATGTGTATTATCAAACTTTTTTAAAGATAAATATGTTCATTTCTAAACTTTCAAAGGATAGATATGTAAAAAATAATTCATTTTCGATATAGGACGTATATACATCTCCCTCTTATCTCTCTATAACCGTTATTATTAAATATCTAATTTAATAATAATATAACTATTCTCATTAAAATTCATAATTCATTATCATGAATTTCTTCATTAATTATATTTTAAATGATTTCAGTTTTTTATTCTTTATACATGAAATCGTTATTATTAAATTAAATATTTAATATCATTAAAGTTCTTCATTATAGTTTAAACGTTACAAATCTGAATTAATTCTTGAACGTTATGAATTGGTGATAATAAATGTTTTTGATCGGAGAACATATATATATATATATATATATATATATATATATATATATATATATATATATATATATATATATATATATGAGGATTTTGGTCCTTGAGCTCAATCATCTCTTTGAAGCGAAAGAGTTTCCTACACAATCTAAACGAGAGTTCTGAGTCGAGAAGTGCCAAAATTCAAGAAGAAACTTATGTATAAATTTTTGACAATAATAGCTGGAGGTATGCTATTATAATGATTTAGAAACACAAATTAATTTCAGTGATTTCTTATGCTCTCTTCAAATATTAATATCAATGTCTAGCTCAATGTGACTACGTAGATATCGAGGTCCAACGGATGAAGAGATAGAGATTGAGGGGGCCACATGCCATCATTGAACTCTTTCTTATGGTCATAGTTTCAACGAGGGACAATGGGCAAATCTATGGCACCAAAAGCACCAACGAATTAGGAAGATGAGAACATTAAACCCTATTATGTTCTGATGAGAACATTTTGTTGGGTCGGTCTTCAATTATGGGGCCTAAAGAGTTGGATCGAGGAGTTACTTTTCAGTGAAGCAAACTCTAATGTGCAATCTTACCAAATGTTTTCAGACTGAAATGAAATGTTAAATAGTAATGATCGAATGTGGACATAACAAAAATACAATGTTAATACAGTAATTATTGCATGCGGACTTAAGCTCAAGTCTACGTTCATTCCTCTGCACGTAGTTGCTCATGCATTAAGAAACGTGCGTGATTGATGTACATAGTGCGTGACATGGAGCACTATAAATCGGTGTCCATTCGAGTGCATTGCATCCGTGTCCATCGAAGACACTCTACGTAATGCAAGGTGAATGAATTCATTGAACGGTGAGCCGTACCCACTTTTCGCGATCACAGAGCACAAAGGGAAAGTGGTGCTCATTGTGGAGGGGCCCATACGGAATAATATTAGGTTGACACGGTTCAGTGAACCACCATGAGATCAAGACACATGGCGTGTTTATGGCCAAAAGAACATGGTAGGAAAGAACCTTAGTGATCCCTACCTTCGTGTCTCCCAATTCTTGATTGCCCTTTCTCTGTCTTCCAAAAGGTCACTCAAGAAAAGAACTGCTAGTGTAGGAGGAATCTTGTTTAGCTAGCAATACGGAGTTAGGGAACACTATAAATCTAATTTTTTGTAATAAAATATTAAAAATAAAAAGCAGATGAAAAAAATATGTAATAACGATGAAGGAGAATGACACGTGGATTTGGTAGTCGGCAGCGCACAGTCTGCTAATGTTGGGTTCAACCTAAACTAGAGCTCGTAGAATCCAATCCCCCGAATCGTGAGGTCGGCAACGGAAACATGGAATGAAAAGGAGGAGACGAACGCAGCGAAGACAACGACGACGGTGTACACGACTCATGTCAGTGTTCCCTTCGTCATCGTCGTCATCATCCTCGGCCACTTTCTCCGTTAAGGGTCGACGATGGCCGATGGAGCGGACCGGAAACAATGAACGCGGACTCGCGGATTCGACGGTCCCTGAAGCGGCCAAAACAACGAACCCGGGCACGACTTTTCTTCCGGTGTCCTTCGTCCTTATCTACCTCTTCTGCTTCGAACCACCACCATCTCATGGAGAACCGACTCTGTCGTCAAATCGAGTACGTGGGAGCGCCGCTCTGTGTATTATGGTTGACTGCTGCGGTTTTGGTTGACCAACCTGTTGTGATGAACAGAGTCACACCTCTGAGTACATTTGCAAGGACTGCGTATGTAGACAGGGATTCTGTCGGAGATCTCTGGATGGTGGGAGACGAGGGATGCTCACAAAAAGACCCATGCAAAGCTTACGAGGAACTGCTCCTATGGCGGCGCACATCTATATATATACGCGTCCCGTTCCCTCGCCGTTCGAGTATTCGAGGAATTGTCCAACCCCACTCCGAGGAGGCGGAGAGAACGTGCGCTTCGAGGTGGCTAACTTTACACGAGACTCGGCCGGCAAGTTCATCCATCCCGACGGCGGAGATGGCGGCGGCGACGAGGTGGTAGTGCCGTCGGCGGTGGCAACGAGCATGACATCGTCGTTCGAGGAGTACGAGATGGGGGTGATGGTGTCAGCGCTGGCGCACGTGCTCGCGGGAGACCGTGGCACCGATGCGGCGACTGATATATCTGAGTCAACCTCGTGCATGTTTCCGACGTCCTCGCCACCGTCGTGGGGCGATCGGGGCGGGCAAAAGAGGGGGAGCGACGACTTCAAGCTTGAGGAGGTGGCCAAGCTCCGCAGAACTGTCGGGGAGTTCGGGGAGTCATCATCGACTCCGGCAGGTGATTCGATCGCTTTTCTCAGTGTATCCGGAGACTCTTTATCGTCTTCTTCTTCTTCTTCTTCTTCACTGCTTCATGGCAGCTTCTCCCAACTCAACTCAAATCTACGTATATATTGCGTCTCTAATTTCCATTTCTGTTCGCTTTGTGTAGCAACGGAACAAACTGCATCAGCAGCAGCTGCTGCCGCAACAGATGCGGCTACCCGTTCGACCACCGGAGGAACAGAGCAAGCAGGAGCGAGAAGAAGATACAGAGGAGTGCGGCAACGCCCGTGGGGCAAGTGGGCGGCGGAGATAAGAGACCCCCACAAGGCCGCCCGCGTCTGGCTCGGCACTTTCAACACCGCCGAGGCGGCCGCCCGGGCCTACGACGAGGCCGCCCTCCGCTTCCGAGGAAGCCGAGCCAAGCTCAACTTCCCGGACGAGGCCCGCCATCGGCAAGCGCCGCCGGTCGTTCCGTCCGTCCGGGCGCCGAACTCCGCCGCTCCCGCAGTGCCGCTGGAGTCCCTCCCGTTCGTCGGTCACGGAGCCACAGCTGTCGCCGCCGCTGCGAGTGACTCCTTGGCCTACGCGAGGCTGCTGCAAGGCGCAGGGGAGTACCAGACGATGCCTCCCGCTTCTCTCTTGGATCCAATGATGTATTCCACGGCTTCTGCTGCTTCCTTGGCCTCCTCCCATTCATTGCCTTCATCTAATCCATCCCCGTTTGCAGTTCCTCCTCCTCCTCCTCCACCATTTCCTCCTCTGTTCTATTCTCCAGAAATGTCGCAACAGATCGACTTCTTCCAACCTCCACCATGGACGGAATCCAGCCGCGATCCGCCATCTTCGTCGGGTTAACACCACACTCATGGAGCTCGACAGAACCTTCCTTCCTCTGTTCAGTTCAGTCCTCCTTTTGTTCTTTAGGATTCACACACGATCTATACAGATTTAGTTATATTTGTTTCTTATTTTGCTCCCATTTCTGTTGCTGTCTTCGTCGTTAGAAATTGAAATGAAAAGAAGATTGATTCTTCTTCGATAGATTGAATTATAGGAACCCTGACTTCAATTCTACTGTGTTAATTGACCTTCGATAGATTGAGAAATGAAAGCGACAGAAATAGTATCAGCTATCGTTATCCGCTGATATGTATTTCCTTGTATCCGCAGCTTAATCGAGGAGAGAGCAATGTCTTCGTATTGGGTAAGCCTACCTATCACTGTGACCTAACGATTAAGGCACGAAGAGGGCGACGTATTACACACCAAGTCTCATTCCACTAGTCCTTTGGATGCCAGGCATGATTCATGATATAGACTCCGATGCTCGAAACACAACTCTCGAATCAAACTCAAAATCCACCAAATGTGAGACTACGCCAGGTTGTGTGATCAGGTACAAGGACGGTGAACATGACGTATTGGCGTGCGTGTGTATTTTGTTGTGCAGTGGGGCGTGTATTATATAGTTTCTTATTGCCTCTTGCATCATCGTAGGGTTTTGTGACGGAAATGGAGACACCTTGGTGTCTCTTCGTTAGTGTGTGTGTATATATAT